TACATAGATATGGCTTTTAATCTACGTTCCATTCCCATTTATTCATCTCTGAGATTTCCCTCCCATCTCAGTGACGGAGACTACGAGTTGTCTCTGTAAATGTTGGAAATCACATAGGGTGCATGGAGCCAACTGTTTCAGCTGCATAACCCCACCACCCTTCTGTGAAGGATCATATCCACTCATCATATGAGCTTTCCCTTTGGCCTCTGTCAGACAAGGTTCAAAGTCGTTTTCAGGTAAACCTTTCTGTCCAGTGAGTGCTTACCCATCATATTCGTGAACACCAAGGTACCGTGAGAGAGTTCACATTTTCTGGTGAAGCCCCTCCCACATCGGTCTATGACGCCCCTATCATCTTATGAAACACTCGGACAAGCCCAACAACAAATGGATAGCCCATTTTCTGGTGTGTTTCCTCATTACTGAAGGACTCATCCTCATGCTAATGATGGAAGGCCTTTAGAGAGTTCATCATATGAATCTCCCTATCACATGTACTCATATTAGCTGGAGGGAATAGTAATTATGCCCTAGTTTGATCTAGGTCAAACCAAAAGTGGCTTCCATTGACTTTCATAAAGCCAGGTTCCGGTGGGCCCAAATCGGCTAGGGTTCCACACGTATCCTCTCCATGAGGGGTGGGGCCCATCACTGAGGGAGGTCATCCAATGACCAAAAGGGACACCATGGCAATGATGTGCATTCAGCCATGGGTGCGCAAGAGCCACTGTCGAAAATGCATAGACCAAGTTCTTATGGTTCATGCTTGAAGCACATCACATACAAGGATAAATTGATCCAATCAATTAAATATCTGTAAAGCCCATTTTAATCCATAATATTAACCATTAATATTATCTAGGTATATGGGCTGAATTAGGGTTGATCAGTTCAGCCCATATAACTTAATCCGCGAAGTGGGCTTTAGCAGTTTTAACAACTTAAAACTGGGCCTTTACAGATTGGGCCGAATTAAACATTTAATTAATTATCAATCCTCAGGCCCATTAGTGGGAAAAATAGGGCTGACATTCAGCCTTGATCGAACCCTAGATTCGGTCCAACCAGTTTGGACCAATCTTGTTCGAATGGGTCTAGGGTTTGATCTTAATTAAAGATTTAATCCAAGAATTAATTACTGATAAAAAAAACAGGCAAGAATCAGTCAAATAGGGTTGTTCGCACAATCCGTCTTGTAAAGCAGAGGTTAGATCACAGGTTGCAGTTTCATAAATTGCGCAGATAGCGATTCTCCCATCTACGAAATCTCCTCTACGCCGCCATCTTCGATCCAAAAAATATAAATAAATAAATAGAAAACCTAATTTCTATTAATAATTACATCAGATCAAATGCCTATACATTCAGTCTAAAAATAAAAAAAAAATATTTTACAGACCAAATGTAATAAAATAATTAAGAAACTGCAAAATCGCAGGTTCCCTGTGTCAATCAAGATTTCGATCTCCATGTGTACGAACAACCCATAAATCAAGAAAATTATAAAGAACAGTTCTAAATAATAATCAGATTTATAAAAATTAATTTCAGATTAATCGCCCATTAACTGGAAACAAATTTTCCAGAAAAACATCATATCTGCGCAAATCGGGTAGAACACATTCTGCCCATTTGCGTAGGTTTAGATTTGATCCAATTTGGTTCAAGACTTTAACTTGGCTCTGATACCACTGAAGGGAGTGAGATAAGGTGGGCGAATTTCAAAAATTTCTTTCCCCTCAACTGGGAATCGCATTCCCTATTTTAGAAAAATCATATTTTTCAATGATCAATCTTGAACCATGAATCGAACCAGATCTGAACAAAAGTAGTAGGAGAGGATTATACTTGATACGGAGAAATAATATCTCCCAACGAAGGTGTTCACGCCCAAGGAAGGATCCAAAGACTGCTCCCACTGAAAATGGCGCAGTGTAGGATGGAGCAGAATCAGTAGTGTTCTCTCCAATAACCTAATCCTTCGCAAGAAATAGTAGGATGGCACGTGAGCACAGCTTTCTATCAGTCCCTTCACAAGGAACTGATGTCA